TGCAGCCAAATATCATTCATCCTTTGTAGTTTTATGAAGGATTCTTTAAACAAGAAAAAAGCCATGGCCTTGCAGTAGATAGGATTCTAGAATTAGTAGATAATGGTCAACTACATCATGCCTCTTACCATAATTTGTGCCTAAATCTGCATTTTATAAATGAGAACTGCACTCATTTAATAACAGCTTTGACAAACTTAGAAGAACCTAAGTCTCCGTTTGCATGTGTTTATATAACATGATTGAGAATGTAAAACAGTATTTGCATACTTTGTCATCGAAACCAACATTTGGCCTAGAAACTGATTGCCTTCTGTCTAAACTAAGAAACAGAAAGAGAAAGAGTTATCTCAAAATTCCAAGATTTTTTTCAGCACATCTTTTTCAAAACTGAATAAATACCTGGATACCCGCCCTATGTATAACTTTTACAAGACAACTTGCCTGTTTGATATTAGACAGCTACCCTGTATAGGTTGGTATCTTCATGAGATCGCTAAAAACGGAGCATAGCATGATGAAAAAGACGCTAAACTTAATGAAAACAAAATTTTAGCATCTAAATGTTTGTTATTATTGAGAGGAAAGATCAAAGTATTTTTTAATTATTTTTTAAAAATTTTTCCTTCATTTTAGAGCATTCTAAATTTTGATTAAAAAAAAACCTTGTTTCTCTTTGTGTCACCGGAATTCTTTTTCATATGTATTACCCCCTACCTTAACTAATTGTACGAAAACTCTATAATTTCAATTTTGGGAAGATTAGTGATTAGTTAAAAGCACAAGGCTTTGAGGAAACCAAATCATGTTTTTTTTTGTTTTTTAGTTGGACCACCCCTACCTGAAAATCAGCTCTGAATTGTAACATACAAAACTCAATAAAACAAAAATATTTAATTTCAAAAGCATTTAATTGCTTTTATTTATTTTAATGAACATGGACAATATTGTCTGAAAGCACGAAGATATTTTGATGAAAAATGAATTTTTAAAACAATTATGTTATTTCTGAAATATTTTATTATTTTTACGTTATGTTGTTAATTTTTCTAAAATTAGGGAAAAGTTTGTCAAATTTAACAAATGTTGTTATTAAGTATATATATATATATATATATATATATATATATATATATATATATATATATATATATTTACAGATTATAATTTTCAAAGCTTCTTACAAACTAACGAACAACAGTATATAAAAAAAAAAATATAATTTGTGTCAATAATAACACTAAATCAAATCTACGGAAGACCAGAAGTATCATGTGTGCAATAAATAAAACCGTCACAGGGATTGAGTTTCTGTCTAGTTAAATACTGAATTTTTAATACAATTATTTGTTATTTCTTTAATTATAATAGATTTTTATATTTAAGTTGTTAAAATATTATAAAATTAGTTAAAAGCCGCATTCAGTTTCATAAACGTCCTTTTGAGATTTATTTTTTTTTTAAACACGTGGAGAAGTTAATTTGATTTTTTAATTTCAACTGAGAAGGGTACCTACAAGTATCAGTATCATCTTATGAAATTTAAATTTTGTGTTTTATGTACACTTCTGATAAAATTTCATAAGAAAGGTACCTATAAATTAATTAGATACCTTTCTTATGAAATTAAATATCACTCTCAACAGTCTTATTTTAATTTCTTTATAATATATTTTCCATAAAGCATCGTAAAGGTGAAAGCTAAGTACAAAAAAATAAAAAAATTAGAGCGCTGAAAATTTTCCTTAAAAATAACAAAGTAAATAATTTGTTCACTTAAATCTAAATAACTTCACATCTCTCACGTAAGCTATCAAAACATCACGAATGTCTTTCGTCACCTTGTCAAGTGACGCGAAAGGTTATGACCGGCTTTGTTTTATTTTAAAACTATGTCTTTTTGGCGTAAAAACTAAGTTAAGCTTGGTTCAAAATATTTTAAATAAACATTATAATTTCTGATTTTCTTAAAATAAGTTTTGAAAAAATTATAAGTTTCAAAGTGAGATTTCCATTTTTTTTTTTTTTTTTTTTTATAACTTGGAAAAAAATGGCTGACATCGACTATCTGTCAATTTTGCTGACTAAAAAAAAAAACAAGATTTTTAATGAAAATTTTGGACATGCTAGGAACAATTAAAAAATGTAAAAAGAATACCCCCAAAATACTTTGATCTTTCCTCTTAATAATAGCATAAACATTTAGATGATAAAGTTTTGTTTTCGTCAAGTTTGGCGTCTTTTTCGTCATGGTATACTCTTTTTTTTTAGCGAGCAAGGAAAATTTAAAACAGAAAATCAGGAGCCCTAAATTACCTGATTTTTTCTTAGGATTTCCAAAACAGTGTTTTGCACCGCAAAAAGATGCTAAAATTTCTCATACTAGTTTATGGTCACCTACTGACGTAAGAAAAACAATCTAACCAAAATTTCAAAGGTTCTAAAAAGGATAAAAAATATATAACAAAAAAATACTTTGGTCTTTCCTTTTGATAATAGCACAGGGTGTCCATAAAGTTCATGTGCACTCCATATAAATTTTTAAAGTGCACACGAACTTTATGGACACCCTTATATATATATATATATATATATATATATATATATATATATATATATATAATAGCTGGCCACTCATATTCAAAGGTAGCTGGCTATTAGGGCGCCTAGGCAATCCCTATTGCAGACGCTTGCTCAGGCACATTTGTGTTTGCTCAACACCCACAGAGCTCATCTGTGGTTTATACCGCAGCTATACTGAGCAGACCTTAGTTACAGTTTCTACGAGAGAGTGTGCTATCTAGCATGTTCAACAATCTGAACAAGGCCAGTACACTCAAACTCTCGGTCATGATGACTTGTAACTTCATGCTAGCACAGCTATTGACAGTCCCCCAAATGTTCCATCTACTCAGTTTCACTCACAAGGCTTGGATCAACTTGTGGTATGGTTTTCAGGCACTTTCCAAAGGTGCTGCCTGCTAGGATCACCCCCTCCAGATCAATGACATCAGGAAGTGTGTGTGTGTGTGTATATATATATATATATATATATATATATATATATATATATATACACACTTCAAAATGTGTGGATGGTCCTGCACAAAACCTTCAGCACTATAATCAAATCTCATGTGCTGCTGTCAGGCTGTTGGTTTCTTGGGAACTGATCTGCTTGACCCTCATACGTTGAATTTGACGGCGGAGTCAAGTGTGTATGTATGTATGTGTATATATATATATATATATATATATATATAAAAACATGCAAACTCTTTCTGCAACAACTTGTAGAAAATATGACTACTCTGCCTCATCTGCATGTAAAAAGAAAAAAAGAGCTAAGAAATAATTTAAGCATTAATAATGAAAAAGAAAAACCCATCACTCAAAAATATCAGCTATGAACATGGCCAAAATGTGATGCCCATGTTTGGGAAATAAAAAAAATATTCCCATTACTATAGATACACACAATTAAAAAATCTACATATTCAGTTAAAAATTAAAAAAGAAATAAAAACATCCTTAATAATGGATCATAGAATAGTTAAAAACACTCGGATATGTAAAATATTTTGAAAAAAAATAACAAGAACATTAATGATTTGAGGTCTTCTCCTCTTAAGGGGATCACAGCTAAGGCAGAACAAGAAGAAGAAGCAGAAGACTCTACATCTTTTTTTCTTAGTTCTTACATATTCAAACATAACCTCTCACCCTCAACTTTCTTTCACTCAATTCTTACACATTTTCATTGTCTGTGTATAGAACTGGTGCAAAGAGTGGTTAGTTGGCTGGTTTGTTTTGCGGCATATCAGCCTCTGTGGGTTATTTAATGCTGAAATCTAAATATTTTCAACACAATTTTATAGCTTCAACTAAATAAATATATATATTGCATGGCTTCAATTATTGAATGTATTGTTAGCCATTTTGCTATACATACACGTTGTTGGCCATTTTACTATGAATACGCATTGTTGGTCAATTTTATATATAAAAAAAGTATTGCTGGTATTTTTACTACAAAAATATATATTTATACTTTCATAGTGTTTGGTTTTTGTTTGTTTTTTGGGGGGGTCACTATTTGCCTGGAAACAACAGCAATTAAGAGGTGGTTCCATGCTCCTCAAAATGAATCCTTGAATCTCCAAATCAGAGGCCTTGCTGCTGGATGTAGTTTATCATCATACCCAGGGATGCAAAGAGTGTTAAACAGAACCAAATGGGTTTTCTCTGCTTACACTACTCTACTAATGTTGTTGGTTCACAATTTATCCTAAGTTATAAAGGAATACAACATTTATAAAAAAATATTATGACGAATGCAAAGAGGATAGTAAAAGTTACCAATAATTAATTGCTTTTATTTAAAAAAAAAAAAAAAAAAAATAGAGAAGTTATTTATCCTTGAAAAAAATGTAAGGGGAAATTTAATGATGTCATAGAAAACAGATATGTTTAGTTTGACCATTTCAGATATTTACAGTTAGGACATGCCATTTCCACAGAGTCAGATCACTCTCATTTCCTCTATATTCCAAATATAAAGAGAATGTTTCATGCAAAGTACTAGTACTTTGTGGAAGAAACTCTTGCATGGGTGCTTCCCTGAACATTGCAATCTTAACCTATTTAAGTTAAGTGTTAATTGATATCTATCCTCCTTATCCTCATAATCTTCACTTCTTACAGCCTACTTTTTTTTATTAATATCACACACCTCATTCTTTATAATCATTTTAACAATAACCATCTACCTTGAGTGACTCTTGAGCCTTGTATTGGATGAATTTTAGTATTAAAAAATAAGCAAATAAAAAAAATAATACTTTGTAGCCTCAAAATTAAAGTTTTGAAAATTCTGCATTTAGACTGAAAAAAGAAAAAAAAATCATATTTTATAAAAATAGATATTTAATTTATTTTTTAGTTCTTTTTAAAATCCTTTTTTTCTTCTTTTTTTCTTTTTTTTTTAACTTTATTTGTAGGATCAAATTGAGGCCGAAGTGAAAATTTTACTCTCCTTGAAAGGGGAATATAAAAGTGTGACTGGTATTGAATGGAAACCTCCAGCTGCTGGTAGCAAACCCTCTGCTTCCCAAAAGGCTAAATCTCCTCCGAGCAAGATGGCCGACGCTCCTGCTGCTTGCACCAATCCTGCAGCTGAAGAATTGAACAATAAAATCACTGTGCAAGGCAACAAAATCAGGGAACTCAAAGCAAACAAGGCAGCTAAAGTAAGCAAACTATTTTTATTTACTGACATGTTTTTTCTTTCCTCTATCTTTTCTTCCTTTCCTCTTGGTCTTTTATTTTTATTAAAACAGTCAAAGGCTAATAGGCCCTTTGATCATTGAAATAAGAAAAATAAAGAAGTAACTGCTGATGTTGACCACAGCACAGATCCTAAATTCCAGAAGCCTTTATACATAAATGTCATTTTAACCTAATTTGATGTGTGGCTAAGTCTCTTATAAAGCCCCTCCTCTTGTTATTCCCACTATCTAACAATAGTAACTATGATACTAGTAAATAACAATAGTGGTAATAATAATAATAATGCTAGTAAGTAACAAATGTAGTAATAATAATAGTAACAGCTATTATACTAGTAAGTAACAATAGTAGTAGCTATTATACTAGTAAGTAACAATAGTAGTAGCTATTATACTAGTAAGTAACAATAGTAGTAGCTATTATACTAGTAACAACAGTAGTAATAACAATAGCACTAGTAATTATAGTAGTAACAATATTAGTAATCAGAATTCCCTCCTAAGAATTCAGATAAAGCAAAGTATTTTCTCAAATCCTTTTTGTTTATGAAAGAAATTTTGAATACTCAGCACTATACAATAAAGGCCTTTTTTTCTTCTTCTTTCTTTCTTTCTTTTCTTCTTTCTTTCTTTTCTTCTTTCTTTCTTTTCTTCTTTCTTTCTTTTCTTCTTTCTTTCTTTTCTTCTTTTTTTTTTCTTCTTTCTTTCTTTTTTTCTTTCTTTTCTTTTCTTTTCTTTCTTTCTTTTCTTCTTTCTTTCTTTTCTTCTTTCTTTCTTTTCTTCTTTCTTTCTTCTTTCTTTCTTTTCTTTTCTTTTCTTCTTTCTTTCTTCTTTCTTTTCTTTTTCTTTCTTTCTTTCTTTTCTTTCTTTTTTTTTTCTTTTTCTTTTCTTTTTTCTTTTCTTTTCTTTCTTTTTTCTTTCTTTCTTTCTTCTTTCTTTCTTTTCTTTCTTTCTTTTTCTTTTCTTTTTTCCTTTCTTTTTTTTTTTCTTTCTTTTTTTCTTTCTTTTTTTTTTCTTTCTTTTTTTTTTTTCTTTTTTCTTTCTTTTTTTTTTTTCTCTTTTTTTTTTCTTTTTTTTTTTTTTCTTTCTTTTCTTTCTTTCTTTTTTTTTCTTTCTTTTTTCTTTCTTTCTTTTTTCTTTCTTTCTTTTTCTTTCTTTCTTTCTTTTCTTTCTTTTTTCTTTTCTTTCTTTCTTTTCTTTTCTTTCTTTCTTTTTTTTCTTTTTTTTCTTTCTTTTTTTTCTTTTTTCTTTTTTTCTTTTTTTCTTTTTTCTTTCTTTCTTTTTTTTCTTTTTTTTTTTTTTCTTTTCTTTTTTTCTTTCTTTTTTTTTTCTTTCTTTCTTTTTTCCTTTTTTTTAAGGATTTTATTTCCCTCTGCCTTTTAGGTTCATGCTCTCTGCTTTGCAACACTTCAGTTATTGCATTATCTACTACTAGTTGTATAGTCAATTAGGTTAGCTATTTAGAGTCAAGGGCTCTGAAGAGAAAGTTATTTTATTTATACGCCCATACCTGTACAAACACAGTAACAGCAGTGAACAATTGTGAAGTCATTTAATAATTTGATGACTCATTACATGTTGACAAAAACTGCAAAAGAAATGACACCAAAAAATAGATGTTGGTATCCCAGTCCTTCATAAGTGTCTTTGCTGAAAGTACCCCGCCCCTTTTATTTATTTATTTTTTTATTTTTATTTTTTTTTTTTTAAAGCTCTCTCTTGTTGCTATATTCATTGATCAGGGCAGCTATAAAATCAAACAAAAAAGAAATCACTACACCAATCCATACCAATGTAACTAGAGCAAAACCAACTGATTGTGCATTTTCATTGGGCTGAACAAAGTTAAAATATATATAAACCTAGTTCCCAATATTAGCAACACAAATAAAAAGAATTTGTTCTGAAAGAAGCGATATGCTTATAAATATATCTATCCATTAGCTAATTTTCTAATTCAGTTCTACGGTAAATTATTTCCATTTTAATATCAAATCAAGTCATTTTTTTTTTTTAATTCTTGTTGCCTTTCATTACAAATTACTAAGTCAAATGCTTTTTCAATTGTTAAAATAATTTGAAATCAGAGTTGTTGCTGTATGACTATAGATTTGGACAGTCACACGAGTGGATTTCTTTGTTGAAATGTTTTGGTTTTAATATTTGGTGAGTCAATTCTTTTGCTTATTGTTGCGTTTTTTATAATAATTTTCTTTGGTTGAATACTGACCAATTATTAAAAGTTTAAAGTCAAGTCACTCTATAAGTTATTTGTTGAAATATTTTTGCTTTAGTATTCCATAAGTCAGTTGTACTTAGTATCGATTTTTAACACAACTTTCTCAGTTTAAGCACTTTGGCACGGTGTAATTGTTAGCAAGCTTGTCTTGCTAGATCAGTTACAACTAAGTAGAGAGTTTAAGCCTCAATAGGTGTTCCATCCTTTCAGCCTAGTGCCACATGTAAGCTACACTAACTAAAATCAGCATAAATTTCTCTGTTGAATACTTTCCAACCGTTAAAATTAAAATCAGAGCAGTAACAATATGACTAGCTTTGTACAGAGTCACACCAATTAAGTTATCCAAGTCTGATTGGACCCCAGGCAGTACTTTGATATCAACATTTACTTTTTTCTACCTACATTTGTAAATGTTACAAATTAAACTAAGCACAATTATTAAAGGATGAAAAGTTTTTGTGGATTTTGATGTCATTCTGGGATCATTTTTTTTATTGCTTTTTTTTTTTTTCAAAATCTGTGAATTTATAATTTATTTTGCTTGTGCTAAGTCTAAAAAGAGCGTGATATAAAATTCATTGTTTTTTATCTATAATTTTGAATGTGTTAAAATTATTCAACTTTTTAACAAGAAAAATCTCGAGTTGATGTTAAAAATTGTCGCAAAACATTGTCAATTTATTTAAGATGGAATTATCTATTATGACTTGTCTCTAATTTGTATTTAGATACATTGTATTTATTTTCAATTTTTCTACATGAATTATTCATCTATATTGCATATGATCAATTATTGTGCATAATTAGGTTACAACAAAATTTGTATTTTATATGAATACTACATTATGAGATATAGTAAAGTGATTTGGGTGAAGCCCATGAGATCCTTACACCAGCCTTGCAATCTTTGCTCCATACATACGTAGTGCACTGAGCAGTGAATGTAATAAACAAATTTAAAGATTAGTCACTTCAGTTTACATACTATAAATATAGTACAAGTAAATTTTTACCTTCACCTTATTTTATTATATTTTGAAGAAATAGAAAAACAATTGAGATCAAATATTTACGGCACTTTTAGTTTTTGTTTCTTACTTTATAAGAGTTTTATAACTGATTCTAAGAGTGGGGGGGAGTCACTAAGTAGGTAAGTCGTTACACAAGGTGTGACTGTACTTCAACAGGTCAAGAGGTACGGAAGCTGGAAAATTTTGATAAGAAACAGTAAGATGAAGAAAATATAGGCCCAAAATTACTAAGCTACCGTATATGCCTGTGTATCATGTGACTTTTGAAGACCTAATTTTGAAACTAACTTGGGGGGGGGTCACATTATACAGGAGATATAAAATTAGCATATGTACTGCTTGACCTGGTTATGCTGTTGACTAGATTATATATTCATTTACTGTAGTCAAATTAGCTTCAAAATTAGGTCTTCAAATGTCGTATGATCATGCGGCTTGGATTAAGGAATCAGAGAGCCGAGTTCAAATTCCAGTCGAATCCATTACATTCACTTATGTGCTAATACCCTTGGGAAAGGTGTGAATCCTCTTCTTCTCCCTCCAGCTATGGGTAAATAGCAGGACAGACTGGGTTCTATAGTCTTGGATGGCAACTGGTCTGAATTCAAAACCTGCAGAGGGTTGTTTGGGGACCTTGTGGCACGTAGTGAACCAGGTCTCTATAATCGGCCCTTCAAAAAGTGTGGATGATCCTGCACGAAACCTTCACCATTATAATCAAATCTCATGTGCTATACGTGCGGCTGGGGACCACTTGTGAATTCCAAATTCCCATGAAACTCCAATATTGGAGCCAGCTCAACCCACCTTGGGTAAATGCCATTACAGGTACAGGCATGATCAGTGTTATATAGTACAATGGCAAAAATGGATTTTATAGCAAAATAACCAAAAATGCTGTATATACTCACATGTCATGCAACTTTTGAAGACCTAATTTTGAAACTAATTTGAAAGGGGCTGCATTCTATACAAGATATAAAATTAGCATATGTACTTCTGGCCCTGGCTACGCTGTTGACCAGTCTATATATCCATTTACTGTAGTCAAAGTAGCTTCAAAATTAGGCCTTCAAAAGTTTCATGATACACAAGTATATAACACCCTCCTCTTTCATTCAGAAAACACACCTCATTTTTAATAATCATTTTAATAATCATTTTAACAGTACCCTTGTCTTGAGTGAACTTTAGTATTAAAAGAAAATTAACAAAACTTTCCTCTATAGTACATAGACTTTATGAATTTAAGCACAGTATTACATTGGCAGCAAGGTCACACCATTTTACAATTGAAATGGCTAGATGTAACCAGGAGTACTATGCTAATAGTTGCTTCTATCAAACTTTTTGCTTGTGGAACTCTCTTCCAGCTTCTTGCTTCCCATTCAAGTTCAATCTTCAAAAATTTAAATGCAATGTTGATCATTGTCTTCTGCCTTCTTAATTCTTGTTCTTTTATTGTCTTCTTTCCTTAATAGTATATTTTTCTCATATTCTCTAACACTCAGTAACCCCTTGCATCTTAGTGGCTTTATTGCCTTGCTTGGGGTGAAATGATTAAAAAAGAAATGAAAGTTGTAATTCTGCAATCGAACTCTAAAAGAAGAAAAAAATCACATTTTTTTATAAAAATTTATTTTTAGGCACGTCTGATTGAATAAATTACAGACATTATGTCTGCTAATTTTTAACAAAATCCGTTCATACTCATGAATAACCTTCTGTTTATTGATCTTAAAGTATGAGAGAAATGTGCTATAGCTGTTCAAATTTCTTTTATTTTCATTTCCCAAGTACTTTCGATTTTCTCCCAAGATCATCTTCAGGGGTGCAAATAATACAAAACTATATGTTGTTCATTAGTACAAGTATTTATACTAGGTATCCCAACACTCAGCTTACAGCTGATGAAATTCTTAACTAAACACTAAAAAAGGCATATATTCAACTCGCTGTGTTATTTCATTCAATATCTCCATAAAAACATAATGCATACCAAATAAAAGCTTATTTCATGAACTTTGTTTCTATCTTATTTTTATATGTACTACAGTGTGCGAGGAACATTACAGTTTGAAAATAGACATTTTAGTGATTTCACAATTTTGTCCATTTTTTTTCACTGACAGCAGTTTAGACTTCCTCGAATTTTGTGACATGCACACTCCGCAGGGTTTATTACAATTTTGGTAATGCGTTAGTTTGAAAGTTAACATTCTAAGCTTCATTTTCATATATTTTATATTTTTTAATTTTAATAAGAAGTTTGTGAACAATTCAAATGAAAAGTTTGATCGTAAAATTCAAACGCTTCTTGTAAAAATAGAAACACATAAAATATATCATTTAATAATCTATGAAACTAAATCAAAATCAAATATGAAACAATAGCTCCATTTTGCGCATGTGCGATTATGTGTAACCATGTGCGACTCGCTCGGCCATCATTTCAACTCCACGCGACACTCAATACGCAGTGTCAACATGGACACAAAAGTATCAACCAGCATGTTTTCAATGGATGAAATTTTCAAGGAAATTGATAAGAATTTGTTTTAAATATTAATTTTCTATGATATGTAAATGGGATTTAAAAACCGTTTTCATCATAAAAAATATGAAACAAAAATCGATTTGTTTACTTTACGCTCAGATTCAAATCACAAAAAAAAAACATAGGACTTATTGATCAAAAAATGTTCATATTCAAAGAATGAGATAAAAAAAAAACATTCTACAAAAAAATTCTAGAATGTCTTTTATATTTTTGCAGTATTCTCACAATAATTATCATCATTTCAGTTACCAAGTAACATTTTATTTAAAGTTACCCCTTAAAACAATTTTCTTACTTTTTAAATTATCTAATGAATGGATTTTAATTACGATTTATTGCTATTTTGATACAAATTTATGATTTAATATTCATTTTCCTAATTTATTATTATTTCTTAGTAATATTTATTTCATATGGATTATGATTGTTTATTTTATTTTAAAATATTTTAATGTGTCAGTTTTAAGAACCACTGTGGAAATAGGTTTGTTGAGAACTGAAAATATTTTTTTTAGTGCTTCCTTATTTGTTACTCAGGTGTATGGATGACTCTAAATTTATATTTATTCCTGATTGTATTTAGTGCAATTTTTTTATGAACTGCAAATAAACTCAAAT